TTTTTAAAAATCTTCTTTTACAACAGCAGTCCTGGAGGCTTAATTAAAAACAAAGAAGCCAAAAAAAGCAAAGGAAAAAAAAAACCCAAAACACAAGGGATAACACAGTCACTGGCTCAACAGCACTCAAATTCTTTGCCAAGACACAAAATTCTTTCTGTTCCTGCCTATTTTCCCTAGACACCTCCACCTCCTCCTTCCCATTAAACTAAACCAATATGTTCACACAGTTAAGAGTTCCAATAACTTGGTCAATATAAAATATTCATAGTAGTTCCAAATCTATCAAATTAGGATAAATACTCCCTCCCAACTCAAAAAGCATAAAGTCTCAGAGAACTGCAAGCACACCAATGCTGCTTCTTCCCCTAGCAACTCCCACAGGTTGTTTTCTTGTACAAGAATTAAGAACTTAATCCTGAGGGCATTTAATAACAGCACAGTCCAGATTTCACCATGTTTTACCACTTTTCCAGGTTGGAAATGTTAAAACAAGGGGGTGTCACAAACCCTGCTTAACACTTAAAATTTTGTTAGGCAAAACTGAATGAATACAGATCAGAACATATGGAGCACTTCTTCTGCTTTTCTTGATGCAACCCACAGAAGTGATAAGCTTGGCTTGTGACCAATTTGACATCTTGACAAATCAAGTCAGCTCCTCACAGAAAAAGGATCTCAACTGTTACAGTTGAGACTGATATTTGGGCAATCCAGGTTAATTTGACTATTACTCAACTCCTCTGTCACTCCCAGTTATTAAAACCTCTACAATAAAGTCAAAACCAAGTGGTCTTTGCTACATCTATAACATAAAGCACAACTAGCATCACAAGTGATAAATGAAAAAGTCTGCTGGCAACTCAAGTTGCCACCAACCTCTGTCATCAGGATGTCAATAATGGTGGGCCTAATAAATAATCAGGAAAACATTCAAAGCCTTTAGGATTGAAAAGGTAGCACTCAAACTTTGAGATCAGTATTCATTTAAACTTTTATTAGAAATACCTCATTCCACTTAGCACTTGGTTTCTTAGACCACAAATTATATGCAGAGAATTCAAAAGTCACAAGTTTAATCCATTTCAAAAGTCATTTCCTGAGTTGATACCACAGAAACAAAAGAAGTGGGATAGAAATGAAGAATACATTCTCTGTGCTGAGGGGAAATAAGTTCAGAATATACTTATAAAAGGAGGTGAATCAGACTGCTGAGCACAATCCTATGGTTAGGGTCACAAAAGCCATTAAAATTCCCTCAGCGACACTAACATACATAGTTTGCACCTCAAGCATATTGTGTTTCAGACAGAACTTTCCGTGTTCATCCCAATATTTTTTGTTTCTATCATCTCCTTCAAGGTTCTTACCCTTGTGTATCTTTAAGTCCTCTCCTAGGTTTGCAATTCAGTTATTACATCACTTTTTCCTTTGGACTTCACAGAGCTCTGCTCACACACAGCACCCCACAATGCTGTTATACAGTAATTGTATAATGACAGTATCTGTATTTTCTACATCATTCTGCCTCCTTCTTTTATTAATGCAACTTACTGGGATTTTGGTTTCAAAGACTTCAGACTCAGCTACAAAATGCCAAATCCCACTTCTGATGCATACTTAGAACCTGTCACTAGCTACATTTAAAAAAAAAAAAAAAGGAAAGGAAAGGAAAGCTGCAAAAAAAAAAAGGAAAATTCCATTTCAACCTGCCACCTCAGAGTTTTGCCCTGGCTATCCTTCATGTTTGACAGACAACTGAGAAACTCCAGTAGAGCTACTTTGCTATACACCTCAAAAATGTCTCCTACTCTCCTCTGTCAGAAGATTTCCCAAAGGTTAGGCTGCAGGACACAAACAATACATCATTATAAGCTCATTTCAGCTCCTTGTCACTCTGGATTTCAGAAACTCTGTAGCAGGGACAATTTTAGCCCTGAGTTTGCACAGCACCTACCGCAGTGTAGGTAGGTTGGTCAAAGAGTGTCCTACAAAGCAAACAGAGTTGCATGGATACCAAAACCCTCATCTCAGCAATTCCAAAACAGACCTGGCCAAAGTTTATCATGCAATACACAGTCTATTTACCCTGGAACATCTCAGCCTTACCTTCAGACAAACAAAATCACATACTCACAAGTCCATTTTTGAAGTTAACCACCCCCAACCCATCAGATCACCTTCAGCAAAAATATACCACTAAAATCAATTTACTGCCCACAAAAGCAAAGAGCCAACAGACCTGTGCAACCATCTACCATTACCAGAAGCAGCATTTATTTCTTTTATTTTTAAATGAGAAATCAGTAGTTTCAGTAGGTTTGATCTTCACAATACAAATAAAAGTTATTAGTTAGCTAACTTTATCTTACTTCCTGAGGGAAAGGAGGTTTGGAGTCTTCCAACTGTGAGGACTGGACTAGATGATTATGAGAAGCCTGAAGTACTCTAACCATAGAAAAATGCAATAAAGAGATATGGTCTAAGGAGAAATTCAAATATAGCTCATGATTGGGGTAGGTAGGGTACAAAAAATGGTAAACAGGACTTGGTGCTTTGATGCTAAACAGACTTGGGTGCTAAACAGGATTGAGTGCTTTGCACAGGATGAGAGAAGATTAAAAGCAGTGTCAATAATTTTCACTCATGTATTCAGAAAGATCTCAGTCTGATATGCTATTTTAAGACACCTTCTTCTCTGCATAACTCTTTCCATTGCCAGTTTTCTCATGCTGGCTACCTTGGTTTGATGTTTCTAAAATTAGAAGCTGAGGAAAAACATAAAACACAGCAAGATGCATGGGGATATTATCTAACAGCACATCAGTCATGCCACAGTTGGAATGACTGTGATATTAAATGATATTAAATTCTTTAAAGACTTCTTTGCAAATTACTTTTATACATTGCAACCTGTAGAAAAATTTTAACTGTATTCTTTTCCTCAAGAGTGCATTTCCCACAATGCACATACACTTTAAGTTAAAAGACCACTGCAAGCTCAAACCAGTGTCACAGGCTAACCACCCTACAAATTTGGCTTCATTTTCTTCCAGATTGTTAGTAAATCTTCCAGATAGTTAGTAAAATCTTGCATTAGAGTATCTGAGTAAGTAGTTTCCATTTTAGATAACGTCAGTAGTGGTAGAAAACAGATAAAAGGATTGCACAGAAGCAACCAATAGAGAAATAGATTTCAAAGCACAACTGAAGAGCATGTACTGCCCCATGGCCATGGTTACTGCTCCCCACAGCACCCTGCACCACCACTCAAGTGCCACAAAGCACAAACCCCATCCCCTCAGCTCTCCCAATCAACAAAGCCAATCACACACAGCAGAGGAAAGGCCTGCACACTCCATTGCACAAACACTACAGCAGCAATTTTCAACTCCTGTTGCAAAACAGATATACCAGTTTTCTTATTAAATATCTCTAGTTTTTATCAACATAAATGCCAATACTGCTAGGCAATATATCATGACCACACAAATTTATTACTTTCTACTGCTGTTTCTAGGTGTGTGTATATATATACACACACATATATAAAATTTTTAAGCATGTTTCCCAGTCAAGATTTCCTTATTAACTTTCAGCTACTGACAAATTTCAGAGGATCTGGATGTTTCTGGCCACAAATGGATTTCTTATGAGGCTTGCAAAACAAATGACTTGAAAATCCACACAATGTGCTGATGGTGAGCTGGCTGCTTGCCTAATAGGCAGGCCTGCAGCTCCAAACCTCATGTTGCCACTGCCCAGCTGACAGGCCCAATAAAGAAAGGTATGGAATACTGATGTGGTGAAAAAACACCTGCTATTAATTAAAAGTAGCTTTCAGCAAAACACATATTTAAGTTAGACATCACTGTCTTCTAAGGCCTAAAGGAAAAAAAAAACACCAATTTCTCCACACTAAAGAAAAAAGTTAATTTTGTAGCCTCACTGGTTCAGACATTAAGATTGATATTCACACTTGAATAGCCTGAAGGTGGATAAAGCTGCAGAAAGAGTTTGCACTTTACCAGACATCTGATAAACTAATCCACTTCAAGGCTACCTGTCTGCTTGAGTTCTCATAACTAAAAGAATTCAACAGCAGCTTTACGTAAAATCTGAGATTAAAAAAGTCAGCTGAAAGGGAAGTCAATCAAGCAGCATATATCCAGAGAAAATGTGTGTGCATTAGCACAGACACACTCAAAACCACTTTTCTGTGTGCCACATGTAGTCCAAACCTACCACAATATGAGGCACCATGTCCCTCCACCACAATGTGTTTTAAGGAAGCATTTTCCAAGACCTAACTTTCCAAAAACTTTCCTAACTCCCAGACTTATGCTGCTGTGTCATTGTCCACGGTACTCAGACCACCAGTCTATAGTTCTCTATCCCAGAAACCCTGCAATTCTAAGTGAGGTTTGAGCTCAGGCTCTCCGTCCCACACAGGCAGTCCCAGAAGAGCAGCACATGCCTGCTCTGTCACAAGTGAGTCTCCTCTGCAGCCAAGAGCTGACAAATAACAAGCAGGCACAGCTAAGTCCTGGAAAGAGAAGTAAACAAAGCAATTAAGAACAGCCACACAAACCCCCTCAGTTCTACAACTGACATAAGAAATACCAAACTGACAGCTTTAGGAACAAGAATTGCACATGGCCCAAGCTGTAATTAATTACACATCAATACCAGCTTCATGTCTCTGCTCTGACCTTAAGTAATCAATGCTTTTTGAGATTTCCTTTTTTCCTGAGCTTAAAAAACCACTAGGTTTGAGTAAAGCCATCAATTCAGGTACTGAACTTCAACATTTAGACTTTCCTTGTTTACAAATTACTTAATATTTCTTTGTGCTAGAGAATGGACCCAGAGCAGCCAGAAGCCTCCCAGGAAGGGACACTGTCTTTTGTGCAGACAGAAGGAGCCTTCTTTTTGTCAACTTACATCAAATTATGTGTGGGTTTCTGCATTCAAACCAGAGTCCTCTCTTCTTTCCTTGCCTCCTCTGTTGACTGATCCATACCTTCTAGCCTATGTATCTGTCACAGCACATGTCACAGTTGAGATGGCCACAAAACACAGAATATCATCAAACAATTTCAGAAAGCTTCAACCCATACACAGTAACACCTCACCAGGCCAGAAGGCTTCAGGTCTCTGCTCATCTTGTCCTTCAGCCCAACCTTTTATGCCCTCATGCTCATGCATTGCACCTGTGTGCCCTCTGCTCCCTTTGGTGATTGGTCCTTGCACCAAGGCTCATTATCCTCAATGCTGCTCCCCTGCTTCTCACAGCTGGGGCCCATTGGGGATGAGGTTCAGCCCCAGCCCCACTCCCAATCACCACAAACTGTGTGCCTACTGGTATGTGCCTGCCTGATCTTTCCATAGCAAGTCCTGATTAAAGAGCTCAAGAACTGATAAAAAAGTTTTCAGGGAAAAAAGAGGAAAAAAAATTAAGCAAAAATAAAAGTTCTTTTCCATTCTTTCCTGCCTCCAAACACTAGCTGACTCAGTCCTAAGATTCCTGAGATCATTCTGCATGTCCGTATATTGTCCTCTTCTTAACTGAAGACATATTTCCTAAAGTGCAGACCAAGACCAAAACCAGACTTCTGTAAAAAAGGAAGGAAAAACATAGACATAGAACTAATTGGTTATGCCAACTGAAGCCTTAAACTCTTTCAAATGCCCCAGTAAACATTCCTGGAACACAGGTTCCAGATACCTGGAAATGGGTAGTTACCATAATACAAAACACATCTTAGGAAAGAACCTAAGAGGGTATTGAATGCAGTCCTTTTACTTCAGCCAACAAACTTAAGAACCCTCTGGAGATAGAAACTTCCTCCATTTCAGAGGAACCAACTGAAGAGCACTATTAAATTCTACCATTATTCTAGCAGAAAAGTGATATATGGGCAAACTTAACACTTGTATCTTGTGTATCACATTTGAAACTAAGCCACTGAGCAGCAATCAGTTCTGCCATGTTAGTGAAACGTGAGCCACGCTCAAATGCATTTACAAGTTAAAATATAAAAAAAAAGTTTTAAATCAGATATCTGAAAATTTACTGTCAAAAAATTTTGACAGGGAAAAATATGCCAAGGTGTATACACACACATCTCACTTGACCTGAAAAGGCAATATTAGAGAACTCAAAAAAAAAACCTAATAAAGTAAGCAGTATCAGCAAGCCATTTTCTAAGCATCAACAGAAAGCCAAATCTTTTAATTCCAAATACAAAAACTTTTACAATCATTTACTAAAGTACTACATTCAGTTTTAAAAGAAACCATCTGATGGAATCATAAAGTTCGTCAATGAATAATTTATTAAACAAGCTTTTTCATTTTCTATAGTCCTAGGCCTGACTCACTAAATTGAAATCTTGTAAAAGCAATCAGTAACAAAAGAAATGGATTAATTTAGACTACATACTTTTAGAGGGAAAAATACTACAAAGTAACAAAGCACTTGAAACATTTTCTATTTATAAAAACAAATTGAACTTTCTTTAAATGAGTCAAAATGTATTATCTCTTCTAAAAGATCACACAGAAGGAGGTAAGTACACAGTTACACAGAAAAGCTACCTATTTAATTGAGAAGTGATCATGACATTATCTAAAAATATTCACATATCACATTCTGACCTACATACAAATTTTAAAATATGACAATATATAGGAAGTTCAGGTGTATTTAGGACAGCACACCTGAATTAACAGTTAGCAAGCCAGAAATATTTCATTATCATCTCCACATTGTTTTTTATCTTACTCACTGCTTAACTGCTATTAAATAGATTACCACCAAGGTCTGACCAACATCTGGGTATACTAAACATAAATGCATCTGCATTAGACAATTTTGATACCAAACCTAAAAAGAAAAATCAATTATATACACCAGTGAAGAAATAAATTATAATTTTTTAAAATTTAATACTAATTTATAATGTTACCTCATTTCCTGAAAAAAAAAAAAATGTAACTCTACAATATTAAATTATATCTGTTCAGAACAACCTGCAGAAGGGAATCACGTGAAGATACACATCTTGGTGGAGAGCCATTTAAGATAAGCAAACAAACTACACTCCTTGAAATAATCTAGTTCAAAGAGACATTTATTTGGACAGGGTTGGTAGGGACTGACAGAACAGATACCTCCTTTTCTCTTGGGTTAAGAAACAGTGAAGGAAAATTGCCACATTTATAAGCTCCAGGAGACAAATATGAAGTCACAGAGCAGAGCTAATAAAATCCCGAGTGCCATGCAACAATTATGAAAAAATCATGACCTTACCATGCAGGGGACCAAAGCATATCTGAAACAACAGAAGGGAATCCTGACTGTGATGCACAGGTAAAGCCTGACCCTTCTTTGTCACAGGCTTTTGACAAGTTCAGAGAGATTCAAAAAGATTTCCCACTCATTCATTTATGAGAACCCAGGAAGGGCTACAAACCTCAAAGTCCTCAGCTGGATGAATCCCTGAGCTCCAAATCCCTCTAAGACAACACTGAGGAAGTGCAGCCATGTGCCAGAATTGTAGAGGTGTGACAACAAAGCATCACAACAGCTCTGAAGGCCACAGTGCCTCATTCCATTGTCTTCAATTATAACAGCTTTTGTACTTTTGACTAAAATGTTGGCAACTAGACCACTGTTAGTTCCTAACTCTTTAAATCTCATCAAGAGTCTACAGCCTAAAACTCATTAACCTGCCCTCTAAAAGCTGCTTGCACCATGTCTTGATTGGATGCTCTTTTTCCTGTCTTTGATGAAGACCAAGGCTGAAAAATCGAAGTCTTCAATTTAGGGTGCAAGAAAAGGTACAGATTAATGAGAAACTCCAGCCCAAGACTTCAATACCATTTCCTGGTTTTCCTTCTCCAAGATTTTCTATACTGACTGAACAGTTTAGATCACGTATTTTCTATTATTACCCCAACGAGTTTCTTTGTCTGCTTGGCTTTTGGGTTGCTTTGTTTGTTTTTGAAAGGTAGTAAATTTACATTCCACGTTTCAGGAAAGAAGAGAAGCCAAGAAAAACAAAAAAATAAGGAAACCAGCTGGAGGAATGTTTCAAAATGAACTGTCCTTGCCAACACTCCTCCAAAATACAGCTTTTCCAGTCCCTCCTCACCAGACATGCAGGACTGAAGAGATTTGACTTGGACCACCTGGCAATGACTCAGCAAGTGCTCTCTTTTTCACAGAGTAATCAAAATTCAGATTTTAAACCATCATTTGATTGAAGAGCTCTGGTCCCTTAGCCAAAAACTAAAACCACGGTGAGCCAACCCAAATAATAAGTCAGCAGTGTCTACTTGAGCTACCTGCAGTGAAGCCTTGCTGAAATCATTTCAACATCTGCATCAGCTGTGGTGCTGTTCAGAATACTCAAAAAGATCTTCCTTGATGCAGAAATATTATAGGCAACACTTTACTGAGTCATCAGAGGTTTATGCATTTTAACACAGATCTAGATGCTTAGGTTTCCCTCAGAGCATTTAGTTTCACATCTATTCTTCCAAAACTTGATTTTGTAAGTAAGTCTTGCATCAGCAGACATCAAATGATCATGTCATGCACTATTGTGAACATTTATTTATTTATTTATTCAGCTGAAGGAAGAAATTACTCCTACTATGTGAATAAATATCAGTAATACAACTGAACACATCGACTAGTTACTGCACACAACCCTCAAAATATTTAAGTCAGTTTTCAACTTCATTCAGGCCATGGTCCAGAGACATTTCTCCTGGACACAATTCCACCTTAAGCTGCTCCTGTCCCCAGACTGATCCCACACCACCTCCTCCAGCCTCACTGCAACTGCTTCAAGTGCCATCCGGTGAAGGATCAGGAAACTGTTCAGGGTTAAAAAAAAAATTAAGCCAGCAGTGCCACCAAGAGAAATGTCTGTGGAACCACAGTCTTCTAAACTTCTCAAAACATTGCCACAGGAGGATCAAGCTAGATGCTTTTAATGCTCATCCTGCATCTTCTGTGCCCATGAAGCTCTGAATAGAGCACATGAATTAGCTCAAAGCCAGTTGCTGTATGTACATGAAAGTAACTTCATCCAGAGCAAATCAAGTTGCTTCATTCCACTTAATTCTGAAACATAGCAACAGCTGCTTGAAGTAAAATAATAATATTTTAAAGAAAATTACTAGAGAGCAAAACACAGCAAAATCCTTGAGGCTCCTCTGGATCCCCTGCCCTCATTCTGTCTTACAACATTGAAAATCAGCGGTACATAGGTACAACATCACTAACAATAGTAACTTCCTGGAGGAATCAATGCAATGAAGCAATCCAGCATTAGTTTAGCTTAGAATTCTCCACCAGTTTCCAAGAACAGGCTGGTTACAAGCAGAGGTCTCAGTCCTACTAGCAGGGAGAGGAGGGAAACCCTCCCTGAAGCAACACAGGATGTCAAAGCCCAGAGCACAGCAGTGGGCAGGCACAGCAGTCACTGAGGGGTCCCTTTGGAGAGAAAGGCTCCCTGCCAACTTCAGCTGAACTTCTCAGATGATCTGCACTTACTTGTTTCTTTTCAGCAAAAGCAGCAGCAGTTTAGCAAGTCCAACCGAATGGGAAAGGCAAGCCTAATCCCAGTAAAGATTCTGAAGATCCCTGATGGAACTAAGAATCTCTACAGTTCACTGATAGTAGGAGTAGAAGAAGCTGAACTGATTTTTGGCCTAATTTCACAAGGACCACTTTTAAAATACAATCTCTATTACTAAAGATCAGTTCTGCTGATATTCTAAACCTTCTCAAGCAGGTTCAGAGATCCTGGAAGGTGTACAAGAAAAATGGTTTCTTATAAAATAGTTGCTCATTTTTTACAACTCCTTATGATGGCTAGGCCATGCTTTCAGATAGCTCTGAAGATTCACACAAAGTTCCAGAAGAAGAAAAACCTGAGGTAACGCAAATGTGGAATAATATAGCATTTTTACATAAAACACATAAAAGGCAAAAGCAATTTTTTTTATTAAGAAAATATTTAATATCTCTTCCTAAGAGCCTCCTGAAAGATTTAACTACAGGATAAAACCTTTCTTTTTCCATACTTTGTTCACTGATGCTTACTTTGC